AACTTCCCAGTCAACCCTCATCTACATACTGAGCACAAAGTTGCATGATATGGAATATTCCATTAGCTGATTTGGCCCTCAATTCTAAATCTAAGTTCAAATCCTAAACTAGGAGTTGTAGGCCCTTTGTCCCAGCTGTGCTCCCCCCAGCCTGTGTTTTGCACACTGGCAAAACATGGGAAACTGAAAAGTCCTTGATGTCTCGGCACCAACAATAAACATCACTGTGCTGTGAACATTCTACTCATAACAAATCCCATACTTAATCCAAAACACAGAGCTCTTCCAGCTACTAAAAAGAAAAACTAACGGTCCCAGCCGAAACCAGGAGACAAACTCACCAGAGTTTTTACCTGTCACCAGATCCGTCTCACTATAGAGCCTTCCTTTAAGATGGGATGGTGGTGGGTTTCTCTGAAAAGCTATTTATTCAGGTTGTCCTCTGACTAAGAAACGCTCTCTCCACATATCTTGCTGCAGATAAGCTTTTGTGTGTACACCATTTTGGGAGTTGTGAAACGAGCTCGTTGGCCTGCAGCTACTGAAGAGGCGAAAGCTGGAGGATTCTTGGTGGGATACATGCCCAGTGGCAGTCCAATCTACCGTAATCCCTGCACTGAGCAGGTCCTGAAGCTTTTTGACAATTTACTTGCTCTTATAAGGTGGGTCAAGTTGACTTGAAATCATTTATGTTGACTTAATCTCTGAAAGCCAAACTGTAATAAATACATGGAATGCGCAGAGCATGTTCTCCCAGTGAAGCCAGCAGGAACACATGCTGGTGCAGGTGCCCAAGTACTGTTCCTGACTGTTCACAGTGGGGAATAGCACTGGGTAAACTGGAGCCTTCTGGATGTTTGTTGGCCTGGCCTATGAGAGTCCATCAGAGCCAACGGGAGCTTGGGCTGGGGTTGCCTCCCCCACCTCCACTGCTATAAATCTGCCACCCAGTTAATCGTTTCTCAACTAACATCTCTGCTCTGCCCTCAGCCCCTACAAGGCCACCTCTCCAGTCACCACCAGGGCAGTCCCAGCTCTCATCACATCCTGTTGGCATTGTTTTCTCTTCAGTGTTAAATTGAGCTGGTTTTGCTGAACGTGAACACCAGCCTCCTGAAGCACTGTCTGCTATTGAAATCAGAGGATGCATACTCTCAGGCTGTTGCTACCTTGCAGTGCCTCTCTGCACGTCACTGGTGTTGTGTGTGTACATCTGGGGCAGCCAGAGGAGGGAGCAAGAGAAGGCAGAAAAGGGGAATCCTGAATAACACAGTTCACAGAATCATAAAGGAAGAATCTGTCAGGGTGATCACTGACATTGGGATTTTGCCAGGCTTATGGGGTTATTTTGTGAGATAACACTACGTGTTACATATGTGAACGCCTTGTGAGGCTTTGTCCTTGGAAGGAGCCTATTGGGAAAGAGCATTTTCAGGTCCACTTAGATTTTTCAGGTCCCAGGTCTGAGGAAAGCAGCCCTGTTACTTGAGCTCTGCCTAGACAGGTATGTTTGGTAGTCTGAGCTCAGGACTGTGCTGCTTCCAGTGAGAAGCAGCATGCTGGACTGGTAGGACAAGCACATGCTGTCTTGGCCCACTCTAGCAGTGCTTCTTACTGCAAAGCTCTGTGCAGCACAGCAGGTGGTGCTTGGGCCAGTGAGCAGGCTTGAACCATCTTGTTACAGCTGCGGCGTTGTGCTTGAAGTTGTTTTGCCTTTTATCCTGGAAAGCTGAAGATCCTATTGATGAGCTTTTGGGACAGGTGTAGAATAGAGTTGCCTGAGTAGAGGTAGCCTCATGTCATTTCTTCTAGACCCTGGAAATGTGCTCCATATTGTGGGACACCAACTAAACCAGTACCCAAGGTCTGAACAGGCTGCAACAGACAGACTATTTGCTTGTGTGATTCTTCTTCTTGCCAGAACTTCTGCATTGGGATCTCTGTTACAACAAGCTTAGGAAACTATTGTCAAACTCTTATAACTACCTGTAAAGAAGCAGAAATTCTTTACCACCTCCAGGAAAACGCATGAGCTACATTCTATTGCCAGTGCTTCCCTATCTACATAAAGGAAGAGGCTCCCTGGCTGTTTTTTGAGATAATGCACCTGTTGTTTGAGCATCTACCCTGCAGACCAAAATCTTTTCTGAGCACATGGTAGTAACATACATGGAGCTGCCTGTACTTCACTCAGAGGTAACCTGGCTTTTCCTAAGGTCTGATTCTCCAACAAGAAACAATGAATGATGTATTAAGAGCAGTAGATCCTCCACCTCATACCTTTCCTGGCTGCTGCTGGATGTAGAGGCCTCTTTGTGTGACAACTGCAAGCTCATAGTTGTTCAGTGCAAATGTTGATGATGCTTATGTCTTCTGGAGAAGTTGAAACTTGTGCTATGGAGCTTCTGATGTGGTTTTTTGCTGACTTTGAGTTCCTTTTCCATGTATTGCTTCCTCAGATCTTGTTTAATATGGATTACACAAGAGAATATGGAATCTAGCAGCTTGTCAGCAGGCAGGAAGTACAGGAATATGAAGAAAGCTGGCTGGCAGGAAGGCTACCTGTGTTGAGGATGCCTTCAGGAACATAGTTGCATTACTACTTGGGGATGGATGCTTTTCTTAGCTCTATGCCATTAGGCAGCTTTCTGTGGGGATAAGCAAGGTCCAGTGTTGCTCATGTGCTTATGCAGGAAGCGGATGGGGAAGTCCTCACAGATTGTACTGGATACTGTGTGAGCAGATCTGCAAGTAGCAGTAGCACAGATCCTACTGAGCAGCAGAACTGAGCACCAAGTCAGGCACCAGTATGCGAAAAGGAGTTTTGCAGGCTGAGCAGTTGGGTCTGCTGCTCTCTGGATACCGTGTGGCATTCTTCTGTGTTTGCAGACAGCCACAGTGAAAGTTGGGTCTTTGCCAGGGTAAGTAGCTTGAAGGTAGGTCATGACTGAGACCAAAGAGCTGAGAAGAATGAGAGGGAGCCCATGTATCAAGGAAAAATAAGGTAGTTTTGAGTGGCATCTTTTTGTACCTACCCATATTTGTCTCTGTCTTGGTAGCTGTATTACTTATTTTGAGGTTGCTTTGTTAATCACTGCTTGCAGCTTTTTGAGTGATGATTCTCCTGTCCTCTGCGATACCTCATTTCATCTAGGTGCTTTCTAGCTTCTGGCTTAAATTATTCTCTCCTGAATTTAAACTCAAATCATGATCTCCAGCTACCTTGACATGAAGGCGCATTTCTGGAGTTGGTAGCTGCATGAACTGATTGGCATTGCACCTTTATTGTGCTACGATTTGCTCGTGTTTTGTTGCAAATAGACTGGTCAGGCTCAGCAAATGTTTTGCATGGACAAAGGCTGTTTTGGAACTCTTCTTGATGAGAAACTGATGTTACCAAGGCATTAATGCTGATGAAACAATTGCTGGATAGACATGGATGCTGTTGGCGTTTTCATTGTCGATGTCTCCAGCTTTGGATAAAATTCTTCAAGCGTGGCCTGGCCTAAAAGACTCATCTTCTAGCCTTCAAGCCCATCTTTCTAGGCATCAGACGCTCTTTCCAGCAGAGCTGTAACCATCACTAAAAATCCCCCAAGTCCTGCCATATCCTTTGCTTGTCTTTTCTAAAGCATAAATGTCTCTTGAATTTTGTTTTTCCATGTTCTCCTGTATATGGGATGCCCAGGAGTGCTGCTTACTGCTGAGAATCTCAGCTGGAACATGCCTAGGGGCTACATCTTCATCATGTATGAGGGCTGTTGGATGCTTTTTTAACTCCCATGGGGAGCAGCTGATTAGCTGTTTTCTCTCCATTACTACTGGGACCTTGCTAAAGTATTAATTAAGGGAGATTGGCGTGTGAGCGAGCATCTGCCCTCCCAACTGTCAAACTTGAGAAAATGCTTCAAGGACTCTGAAACAACTAAGGACCATGGCCATAGCTTCAGGATAAGACTGTCTGGCCCATCGTGCTGGGGTTAGAGCAGTGGGATTTCAAGGTTCACCACTGCAATTCAGTAGTCCAAGAGTACACCCCACTGCCTTTCTGCCCAGCATAAGGCAAAGCCAACATGGGTATGGAGCAGGGAGGAGATGATTTTAGTAGCTACATTTCAGGATAGCCTCAAGGAGAAACACACAGGTGTTTGAGTCAGTGGGACAACATTATCCAAACTCTTGTGGAGGCTGGGCTGCTCCTTGTCCCCTCTTGGGAAAGTAAAACCAGCTCGTGCCCCCTTTGAGGCCTTTTGCATGGTGTTAGATCCAGCCCAGAATGAGAGTATGAGTTGTTAAGAAGTCATTTACGTAGCTCTTTCTTAAGAGAAACTTACATACTTGCCTCCCTCACGTGCAGTGAGCAGGGAAGTATTTAACATTTGCAGAGAGAAATGAGATAGTTGCCATTTCGGAGCTAACTCAGGCTCTCTGCAAACTCAGGCAGACGTCACTGCATCGGGGTTGCCAGGATTGTGAACACAGACTTTCAAAAAAAGAAATTAAAAAATCATTAAGACATAAGTGAAAGCTGAGACTCTGGAGAACATACTGAGGTCTGTCCGCGCTCCCTTCCCCCAGCCATTCCCATGTACCCCCCTGCTTTGGGAAATGCTGCTCTAGGGGGAGATACTGAGTTGCCCTTGATCACCTCTAGCAGCAGGTACAATGGCATTGCAGTTTTGGAGGAGGCTGCAGGATTTGTGCTGTGTGCAGCTGGCGACACCCAGAGTGGAGGTCTGAGGTCTCAAAGGAGAGAGGTAGGTGAGAGAGACACCCCCTGCCAAGTCCAGCTCTGAGTGTCAGTACCCTGGCTAAGAGAGGACCCATTTTGGCCTGGATGGCAAGAACCAGCCACCCGTGGCTGAATTGGTGTTCCTTGTGGAGAGCTGACCATGGCTGCTTCCTCACGATGTGGAATTGTTCCCAGCTGGATGTGCTTTCCAGGGGGCACACGTCTGCCACAAATATCTGATCAGACTGATGTTCTCCCTAGAGTCCCTCCAATGCCACCTGCCATTCTGGGGACTGTGACCCATCCCTGGGGGGCAGTGTGTGTATTTTGGAGCTGAAACAGCCCCTCCCTCTGCAGGGGCCTCAGGTGCACAAGATCTTTTGAGATTACAGTCCATGTCGTGTCATTCTCTGATCCCTTTGGCCAAGCTAAAAAGCTGTTGCCAGCATCAACTGGAGAATCGTTGGGAGTTTTTACTGCCAGTGCCTGCAAGGGGTGGGGTGAACTCAAGTGGTAGGGGCAGCCAGGAGATTCAGGACATGAGGTGGAGTCACTCCATGTCTCTGTTGGGTCAGCTTCCCCAATATTTTTGCAGGTGGGGAAGGGGGATCCCATGCACACGTGCTTGGTCTCACCTTCCTCATCATCTGCCTCAGAGGACCTGTTCACAAGCTGAAGGAGAGGATCCCACTGTCAAGGGCAAAAGGGGTTGACCAACATGAGTATAAACCAAAGCTCTTCTGTTTCAGGACTCACAACAATCTCTACATGCCAGAGATGGTGGCTAGGCTGGGGGAGACATTTGCAAAGGCCTTGGACATGCTGGAGGTGGAGAAGAATGCCATCCTAGGTAAGGGACTTCTCTTTGGGAGGAATGTGTAGGCAGATTCTCAGAGGTATTTGAGTTAGTGGTCCATCAATAGCAGTGGATGTTAAGAGGGGCTGGAGACACAGCTTCCTCATAGTATTTGCAGCTCAGCTATGATTTGAACCTGCTGAAATTAAGAAGTTAAATAAGTTATTAGTCTCAGACAAATGGGTTTCTTCTGCTTGAAACGAAGGGTATCTTACCAAACTGTTTATCCCAGCTGGGTGGTACTCTCTGCAACATGGCATTTCAGGCTGAAGAGACTAGGGTGCTGTAATTGTCTGTCTTTGAGCAGAATTAGTGCTCAGCAGGATCCCTGAGTGCTGGTGCAGAGACCTGCTCTGGAGGGCAAGAGCCAAGTCCTGCAGCATTGTCCTGACGTTTTTTTCCAGACAATGTATTAAAAGGAGCCTTTTGCAACCATTTTAAAATAGATTTGAGGTTGTGAACACAGAAGCCTTTCTAGACAAGGGTGGCCTTGAGGATGAAGTGTGGACATGACTCTGGAAATTGGGGTTTAATTTCAGCTTCTGACAGACAGCAAAATATTTTGGGGAAGTTGCTTTGTCTGTCTTATCTCTATTTCCTATCTGTAAAATGAGGAGATGCTTCCTTTACCTGTTTTCTATGACCTATATACTCTCTGTCTGTGAACCACTGCACATAAGAGGCAAGACCTTTGATCTCTGCTCTAAACTTTTTAATATCATAGTTCATCAGTAGCTTGTGTCCCAACAGAGATGAATACAAGCCTGAAGGGATGGGCTATTAGAGGAGCTGCACAAATGTCAGCTTTGTTTCTAACCGGGTTCTGATAGCTCCAGTAAGTTTTGCTTTGGAAAAATGAGGGGGCTATGACAGCCTTAGTGGGAGCACCTCTGCTCTGGGTACAATTAACCTGAACTTGGCTGACCTCTGAGGGGAGGTTCTGCCCCAGGGTCACTGCACCTTTTCCCATTTTGCTGCACATTGATCTTGTCAAGGGCTTTCCTTGCTGCCATCAAGCTGGCTGAGGCCTGCCCAGTGCATTCTGAAGGTGTGCTGTGCTCTCTCATTAATGTAACTGAAGCTTATTCTTTCCCACAGGTCTCCCTCAACCTCTGCTGGAGCTTTATGACTCTCCCGTGTACAAAACGGTCTTAGAAAGGATGCAGGGCTTCTTTTGTACCCTGTACGACAACTGGTAAGAGCACCAGATATCCCACACACAATCCAACGTTGCACAGCTGGAGCTGTAGACTGTTGCTGGGTGCTGACTTCTAGAGTTAGACTTTTCGTGTGAGCTGTATCCTGTAATATCCAAGTATGAGCTGCAGTGGTGAACTCTGCTTGATGGTTGTAACCTACTGCATACACAACGAACACGGTCGCTGGAAAAAGTAGTTCAAAATGTGAATCTGCATTTAGCTCTTCTGCAGTTAGGTAGTCAGATTGGAGCACTTATCTGATATCCTGACCTAGTTTGTCTCTTTGCCACTTTTAATCATGTGTTAGGGTACATCAGCACTTGAAAGTGCATTTTAGTGCTTAAATGCTTAATTCAATGTCCCTCTGCAGATATCCCGGGAAAAAGAGATACTGTGCTAAAAATCCCTCTACAGTATTTAAGAACATGGTCACTCTAATATCAAGATGATACTATTTGTAGCCTTTGCAGGCCAGAGGAATGGTACCTGTTATCTAGCAGGCTTGCAAGTAACTTGTTTTTTGTTGAAGTTTCCACATCCTGGGAAATGCAGGTCCCTCCATGCAACAGGATTTCTACACTGTTGAGGGTCTTGCCACCCAGCTCCTCAGCTCGGCTTTCATCAACCTCAACAACATTCCTGATTACAGACTGCGTCCCATGCTCCGTATCCTTCCATCACTGTCTCAGGCCAGCTAGAGAGCCTTTGAACACATAAATTGAAAACCCGCATCATTTTCAGTATGGCCAAGCACAGAAGGGTGATCGAGGAGGTAGGCAAACCTGGTGTGGATGAGGTGTGAGCCTAGCAGGGCACGAGCTGATATAGCAGTGCGTGGGGTCAAAGGGAATAAATGCAAAGGATTTTGTGCTCCTGGAGGCACCACGAGAGGTGGGTAGTGCCTTCTGGGGCCCAAGGGGGCTTGGATAATATAGGAGCCTGGCAGTAGGATGTCTGACTAGACTTCGTGCTTGTGTGGGAGATATCTGGGGTTCCTGACCCGCTTTCCAGGGCTGGACGTTCAGTTTCACATCTAGGAAATGGGCTTTCTTAGCTGAACTGTCAGGGGAAGGGGCTGTATACCTCATGCTCTTGCTGTATAGAGATACCACTTGTTAATTCAGAGCTGTGAGAAGATGAGCTTCAAGGTGTCTGTTGCTTGACCTGGTGGAATAGGCTGATTTGGATGGTGTGCTGTAGGCTCCCTAGCAGCTGGCCATACGTACTGGATCTCTTCCTTAACTCGTCTGTGCAGGTGTGTTTGTGAAGCCCTTGGTACTCTCCTGCCCTTCAGAATACTACGAAACCCTTGTCTGCCCCATGCTGGGACCACTCTTTACCTATCTGCATGTGGTAAGAAAACAGCTTCTTCAGTGCTTGTTCCTTGGCAGCCCAGATTCCTTGCAGCAGCGGGCAGCAACGCGTAAGAGTGTCTGTCTCTCTGAAGCCAGCAGACGTGGTAAGAAAACAGCTTCTTCAGAGCTTGTTCCTTGGCAACCCAGATTCCTTGCAGCAGTGGGCAGCAACGTGTAAGAGTGTCTGTCTCTCTGAAGCCAGCAGAGACAAGGGCAGTGCCTCGATACTGAATGAGTTTGATGCTGGTTAGGGGGAGCTTTTGAGGTGCGCTGAACCCTGGCTGTTGCACAGCACCACTTGCTGTGAATTCAAATCTGTGGATATTGGCTCCTCAGTCTTCAGCCCTGGGAATTTTTGTGGGATTATTTTTTGCCTGTCCTCTCCTTCTTTTGACAGCTCACTCAGATCCTACAGCCAGCACAGCCACAGCATCTTCAGCACAGTTCTTGTCCCATTCAAAATGGGGCTTGGCATGAGAGCTGTGTTTAAAGCTTTTGTGCTTCTGTCAGCAGCTATCACTTGGGCCTCTTTGCACTGTGTCCAGCATAGCTCCTTAGAAAGGTATTGAATCTTCCCTTTTGTCTTGAGCAGAGATTGTCTCAGAAATGGCAGGTGATCAACCAGCGAAGCATGCTCTGGTAAGCTTCCACCCCTGGATATAAGGGGGCAGTGGGCAGTGGGATGGAGCTTTGGTCTTTTACGTGGCCCTTTGCTTACGGAAGGGCTTGGAAAACAGTGTTTACCCTGATGGTGACTCATTCCCTGTGCTTGGGCAGAGGGGATGATTTGAGACATTGGCTCCTTTCACACTAAAACCTGTTCTTCTCAGTGACGATGATGCTGCAGACGACAACCCTGAGTCTCAGGAGATGCTTGAGGAACAGCTGGTCAGGCTGCTGACTCGAGAAGTCATGGATCTCATCAGTAAGTGAAATGAAGCTAGGTCCCCTGGGGTATCTGGGAAGTTTGTCCTGGAGAGGACAACAGGAATTTCCAGTGTGCTGTAAAGCTTAAGAATGGCTAGTAGTATTTAACATAATCCTTAGAAGCCCGGTGTGAGACAGTTAACCCTGCCAAAATCTTAGCTAAAACCCAGTAAGAGATCAACTAAAAACCTTCAGAAGAGAGTTTCTTGGTTTTGTTTTGTTAGCATTTAGGGCTCCATGTTTTTGGCACTGTCCCTGTAGGAGTCCAGTCCTTCGGAATCTGAGTTCTCCCTTTCTGTGCTTTGGAGCCCAATATGGGACGTTGATTTGTGGACAACCTGTAGAGCAGTTTTGTGGCTGACAATTGCCACGTCTCTAGCCAGACAGAAGGGAAGAGTTTCTTCCCTAAAGCAGTCTCCTTTCTTTGTGTTCCCTTTCTCCAACATCATGTTTTTGTCAGCATGGCTTTGAGCAGAGACGCTGGGAAAATTGACTCCGCATAGCGATTACACATCCTCAACCTTGTGTCTCCTTTCTTGATTGGCCTTGTTGCCTTTAGGTGGTGTTCTTCCTAGATTATAGGCTTCAAATGTTTTTGCGTATTCCTAGTTCTCAGTAGTTCGAAGCAGGTTCCCCTGTGGGAGGATGCTGCGGGTGGGGTGTTTCAGCCTTCCAGGTAGTGGAGTATTTGGCTTTTACACTGGGCTTTCAGAGTCTTCGGATACTGTGTAAGAGCTGAGGGAGCTTGCAGCAGCTGTAGGATAATCTCTGCATGTTCTGAAGTCCCATCTTCTGCTTTCTGCTCCTCTGACCTGCAACTGTTTTTGCAGCTGTCTGCTGTGTTTCTAAGAAAGGTGTTGAGCATAACACTACTGCTGCTGTAGACGGAGACGGTGAGTAAATGCCTCCCTTTGCCTTTCCTGCCCTTGGTGTAGACAAGCACTTTTCCCATTTCTTCATGCATTTTCTTGAGGGAGAGGCTGGCCTGTTGCTGGAATTTGTGTGTGAGGGGTATAGGTTTGGAAGAAACCTTCAGCTCTGTCCTGCACAGTGTGTCGGGGCCACAGAAAAACCTGGTCTAGTGTAGGAACAAATGTGCTGTAAGGTTCATAGGTAGTATGTTGGAGCAGCTGATTCTTAAGGTACCAAGAAGAGGGGAATGTGCAGTCTTCCTGAGAGATGGAGGTAGCTAGCGGGTGCCCTTCCTGCCCCACAAAGGGTGGGTCCTTTCTGGTTGGAGGGAGATGTTCTGGCAGGCTGTGCCAGTGTACTGGTTCTGTGTACTGTCTCCTGGCCCCCAGCTTAGTTCTCGCTGTGCCTTCCTGTGTGTCTCAGTCCTTGGGAGGCCATGCTCACAGTGCTGCCTTTGCTCTGCTCCGCAGATGATGAGGCAATGGCCACAGAGGTGACGGCTCCTGCCAGCGCAGAGCTCACCGAGCTCGGCAAATGTCTGATGAAGCAAGAGGTAAGAGCACATGCTCTGACTGCCACCATCCTTTCTCTGTACTCTTTGTCATGTTTGTCTGTGGGGCAGCCAGACACTGCTACAGAGATCTAAGCTGCTGGAGTGTTCCCTAGTGTGAGTCTTCTCTTGGAAACATAAGTGTATTTTTAAGGGCCTTGTTAATGGCTGCAGAAGCCAAAAAGCAAATGGGGGTTGGGATCCAGTATAACATGCAGCTACAGAGTTTCAGCCCTTCTGCAGGCAAGGCCCTGGACATTCAGCCCTCAAAGTGCTCCCTGGCTCTGCCTCCATCCTGAGTGCCAGCCTTCACAAAGAAGAACTTTGCCCAGCAGCTCTTTTTTTTCTGTAAAATCTGCCAGAGCTGGCACAGGAGCCACAGTGTTAACACAACCCACTGCACAGAGTTCATCCCAATACCTCTGTACTCCTCTCCTGTGGACACCTCAGAAGCTCTTGCAGAAGCTTTTGCAGTGACTTGACAGTAGCAGCTGATGGGAGTCCATGGGTGCTCCAGGGCCTTTCCAGGGGAGATGAAGGGAACAAGTTTGCTTGGCGTTGGTTCCTCATGGCAACAATGGTGCACACTGGGTACCTCTGAGCGCCTTCAGCTGGAGCAGCAGCAGCATGCAGGATTCTCAGAAGACAGCCCTGAGGAGCTCGTATAGAGTCCCTGGATTGCTCCTTGGCTCCCTTCAGGTTTGAACCCCGGAGGTGGGAAATAGTTCCTCTGACTGGTTTCCCTCTCTGATTCCTTTTCAGGATGTTTGCACCGCGCTGCTGATCACTGCCTTCACATCGCTCTCCTGGAAGGACACCTTGTCCTGCCAAAGAACCACAACACAGCTTTGCTGGCCACTGCTCAAACAGGTACCTCTGGGAGGAAGAAGGGATTAGTTTGGGCAGAGTTGGGAGAGGAAGCTCTGAATGTAGTGAGAAGCATGGCTGTTTCACCCCTGGGCACCTTGTCCCTCGAGAAGACCAAGCTGCTGCAGAAAGGCAGTTATGTGTCAATATCCTGCTTCCATGTTGACAGTGCCTCTTCCCCAGGTGCTTCCAGGAAACCTCCTGCCTGATGCCGTGTCCTGGTTTTTCACAAGTGTGCTGAAGGGCTTACAAATACATGGGCAGCATGATGGCTGCATGGCAGCTCTTGTCCACCTGGCTTTCCAGACCTACGAGGCCTTGGTGAGAAATTCTGCTCTTCATCCAGACATGAGGTTGGCTGGGCAGTTGTGTAAAACTAATCCCATGCCCACTTGAGTAGGGGCAGAGGAGCTAATGGTCCCTGAAGCAGGGTAGGGCTGCTCCTCCAGCACAGCTGTGTTAACCATTACTTCTCCCTGCAGCGCCCTCGTTACGCTGAGCTGAAGGCAGTGATGGAGCAGGTCCCAGACATCCAGATGGACTCTTTGGAGCAGTTTGATTCAAAGCTTCTCAACCCAACACTGCAGAAGGTGGCAGACAAGCGCCGGAAGGATCATTTCAAGCGCCTCATCGCAGGTTGCATTGGGGTAAGTAACATCCTGGAGGAAAACGAAGCTTTTTCATTTCACGCCCATACCCTGCAGAAGTGACGGGGAAGCCAGCCTACCTGCCTCTCGCCAACTGCCTCCCTTTCCAGCCAGGAGACTATTGCAGCATACTCTCAGTGTTTGTCCTGTCTGTCTCCAACTTGGAGGTACAGTGAGGACGGCAGCACAGACTGAGCAACCCCTCCAGCAATGGCTTCTCACTGAGAGGCAGGGGGTACCTTGCACAAGGATGCCCGGGGGAACAGTGTGTTAAAATGTTTGAATGTAGCTGCTAGGTGGTTGCTGGGGTTTTGTGAGGATGGTGGCATTGGAGCCTGGTGGCATTGAATCAGAAGCTGGGGAGCTGGCACACTGGTGGTTACCTCTGCTCTGGCACTGAGATTCCCCAAAATGCAAGCATGGGGTCTGGGCCTAGGGATGGCTCAGAATCTGAAGTCTGCCTCTGATCTGCAGCAGGCTGACCCTGAGCTGAGGAGGGGTATGAAGGCAGTAATGACTGATGCCTGCCTGTCTGTCCTCTGCAGAAGTCCCTCGGGGAGCAGTTCCGCAAGGAGGTTCATATCCGGAACCTTCCATCTCTCTTCAAAAAGGTGAAGCCATCTTTGGAGACGGATGTGCTAGAAAATGAGGATGGAGAGGGCCTTACTCCACTCTTTGAGCCCTGAGCCTGGGATGCTGCAACCATCTCCTCCCCTACCTTATATCTTGTCTCTCCTCATAGTAAGCACATTAGATTCTCCTTGTCATTGCCTCCAAAAGCATTTGTCTGAATAAAGCCCCTTACAGGTCCTGTCCCATTCTCCTCCCTGCACTGGGAGGGGGCCTGTGGTGGCATTTGAACCAGTCTATTAAGCTTTCCCTGATTCCTTCCCCTCCCCTCCCATTGGAGGAGCATCTTTAGACCTCTGCTTCTCTGCAAAGTGGGAGCTGAGCCCATAGAGTCTATTAGGTAAAGCCTGGTCATGCTGTAACTCTGGGTCACTCATGCTCCACGTCTTCATCCCTTGGGGTTTAGGATGAATGCAAAAGGCAGAGTAGTGCGCCATGTGAAAAGGGGCTACCCTAATCTTCCTCTGGGTGCTAGTAGCCAGGCTTTGTAGGGAACACATCAGACACTCCTGTCATGCCTATCAGCACTTGTCCCTAGCAGACTGGTATTCTGATGAATCCATTTCCCTCCAGGATGCTGAGCCTTGGGCTGAGGGCTGTGTGCCAGGAAGCCTAGCAGTGCTCTAGGATCTCCCTTGAGATCAGCCTTTCTAAGGTGCAGCTGCTCTCTAGAAAGAGGCAGACACTGTCATACATATATATACATATATATGTATACATAGATGATCATACAGCTTGTTCTACCCAGAGCCAAATGGAAGGCTTTTACTTTGTGCCAGCCTTTCTTGGACATCTCTCAGGGGGAGCAGGACAGACTTTCTTAATTATTTTTTCTTTTTACCATGCCCTGTAGACTAGAACGTGGCCAGTGCAGGGTACACAAAATCTGGACCAATATCTGAGGCATCTGCAAACCAAAAGGGATCTCCTCACCCTGTTGCTGTGGAGGTGACAGTAGCCTGTGTTTTTACCCAGTCTGGTACTTCTTGGAGAACTGCATGGTGGGGCAGGAGGAGTGGGGTTTATACTGCAGTTTACAGGGGGGCGCCAGGTCAGAAACTGGGTTTTAGATGAGGTGGGATTTTTATCAAGCCACTCCAGTCTGCAAAGCTGGTGGTTCTTACATGACAAATGGCTCACTCAGTCTATGCTAGTGTTAGCACAGGAGCTGGGGAGGATCTGTCCAGAGCTAGCTGGCAGTTTTGCCATCCGGGAGACAGAACAAGTAATAAACTGTGGTGGATGGAGAAGGTGGTATCTCCACTTGCGACAGACTGGACAGAAAAGCGGGGGTTGGGATGGGTGGGAGCGCACAAAGAAAGAGTGGGCCTTGGGAATCCACTCACCCTCCTGCCCCTGCTGTTCCACCAGCACCCTCCACTTTCCTCCTGGCCTCAAACTTTTTTTAACCTCTGAGCTAACATGGCTCCTGGCTCTAGCAAAGGCTGGGTGTATTTATTGTGTTGTTGTATTTTTAACATTCTGTGACTTCATGATAGACACAAGGGGTTTTTTTAAATGGTTTTTAGAACCTTTTTTGTAGGAATGTTTAAATCCGAAGCTGTCTCTGAACTGGTTATGTTACACCTCTGAATGTCAGTAAAGCTATTCCAGTTTCATACACATGGTGTCGTGCTTCATTTTTATTCTTTCATCTGTTTCTCCAAGATTTAAGGCCTCTGCTCTGCCCAGGCTGCTTGCCTAAGGATTGATTGTTCAGCACTCCATATGCCAGCTACCAAAAAGAGAGCATCTTTGCTGGTAGTCAACATACATTATCAGGGAGAGGATGAACCATTCCAGACTATGTAATTAAATTAGAAAGCAAGAGGAAATTGTGTTTTTAAGTATTTATGTCACTCAGCTGGTTTATATTAATTTCACAACAGCCGCTAGCTCCCACTTTACAGCTTGAAGGGTATGTGTTGCCAAAGCAAAACAGTTTGGCATGGTGTCGTGGTTTTAGGCTGATCCAGCAACTAAACTCCAGTAAAGGGGAGAGGAGAAAAATATAATAGAAGGACTGAGGGTCGAGATAAGAACAGAGGGAGCACCCACCAACCATGGTCCAGGGCAAAAGCGACTCGGCTTTCTTTAATAAATTGTTTTGCTTTATGGTTACTTAAAAGGACAAAGGGAAACAAAACTGGTTACTTGAGATGGTAAAAAGAAACAAAGCCAGATCTTAAAACCGACACCTTCCTTCTCCCCCCCGCTTCCTTTTCCTCCCGGCTCTACCTCCTCCCCCCAGCAGCATAGGGGGGCAGGGACTGGGGGAGTGCAGGTCAGTTCATTCTGTGCTGTCACTCCTGCTTCTCTCTTAAAGGAGGAGGAGTCCTTACACCCTTTTCCCTTGCTCCAGTGGATCCCCTACTCACAAGGGAAAATCCACAAACTTCTCCAGCGTGAGTTCTAACCGCAGGATGCAATCCTTCCCCATCGGATTGCCCCAGTGTGGGCTTTACCACAGTCTTGGATTCTTAGGGAGTTGTTGCCACTCACTCTGGCGTGGGTCGTCACGCAGACTCCAGATGCCTCTCTACCTTGTCGTGCATCCCAACGCAACCGTTCTCAGGCTCAGGCATCGCATCTCCATGGGCTGCAAGTGGGTCTCTGCTCCACCGAGGCCGTCCTGGCTGCAGGGGGGCTGCCTGCCGTCTTGCCCCTGGCTGGCCAGGGAACTAAGCCTCTGCA